AAATAGATTTTTTAAGAAAGGTGACTCATGTCTACATCGAAGGACTTATAGAAACCGTGTCCGCAAGTAAATAGTGCACTCCCATCGAAGGATCCTGTACATACTACTAACTATATTTTGTGACAAGATTATACATGTTCCTGAGGGAGCATATATTTTCTCCCCCTGGCCCTAGACCCACGACAATGACTAATCATTCAAGCAAAACGAGCCAAAAGAAATGAGAAGAGCCCTCTAAACTAACAGAGGCAGTGGAAAAGGTACGTTACACTACTGCAATTGAACCAATAAAAACTGTATATAGTATTCAAGTGAACAGTTTTTAAATATGGGAAAAGTTTATATAGAGCCGAGGCAAATAAATTAAAGCTTACATCAAAAATTTCACTAGAAGAGGTTGTTTTGATGTTCACATATCCTCAAATTGATCATCTCGACATCAAGATGCATGGACATAAGCAAAAATTAGATTTTAAGTTTTGAAAACAGTGCATCTTGTAATGTATTTTTTTACCGTCAATTTTCAAGTGTTCATAGATCTGCTTGATCTACACTATTTTAGAAGCTTTAAAATTTATAATTAGAGATGGAAATATATTTTAAGGATATCACAAAGATTTTCAATGTTGAAACTATATTTCTTGACACTATTTGTAGGTGGGTTTTCTTTTGATTGTTTAGAGCCTCGGTTCTCAATATACCGACAAACTAAAACATTGGTAATAAATTGGTTTTTGTTCAAAAAGTTAAGAGGCGGGGCAACAGTATAGACCGTAAAAAATTAGTTAAAGTTAAAGAATCATGATATGTTATATTTAACTCAAAAAACCAAGTGAAAAAATTCGGATATGCAAAGATGAAATAGTATAAAATTATGATTTGAAGTTATTATAGAGATACATTGAAGTCATTAGACAATAATTTCATGTCATTGGCTACTAACATTTAATGTTCTACTTGACAAATTTTGTCTAATTGTTTTTTGGGTGAATAATTTTGTCAAATTTTTAATTAAATACAACTACATTTCCTGCATGACACAAAATATACAAAGATTTTATTGGAGGGTACACTGAAACAACAACAATACTAAGTACATGAATTACATTATCTAGTAATAAGAAGTGTAAACCAAGGTTGGATTATTGATAGAAGAAAAAACTAACATATTCATTAGTCGCTCTTCTTCTAATTCTATGTATTATTTTAATACAACTTTTAAGGGAATATGTTGGCCGAAATTTTTTATGGAAATAAATCAAGCTTCTTTTATCCCACTTTTGATGTTCTTAGCTCAACCAAAATTCTGGTATATCAAATTGACAAAGAAAAAGGAAGTTTCAAGCAAGTTATAGGAAAGAAGTTCCTTTAAAAAGTTCGTTTGAATAAAGATATAATATGTTTTAAGGAAAAAGTTTATATAAGGTGTCAACTTTATACTGTAAGATAAAGTGCACTTAAAAAACCCATAAAAAAAAACTATTTCATCACTAGAAAATTCTCCAATTAATTATCTTGACCTCGATATATATGGACATGAAAGAAAAAATGAATTTCAACTCTTAAAAATAATGCATCTTGTAACACATTATCCAGATTGTCCATTTTTTAGATTTTGGAGTGATCATAGAATTGCTAAATTTACAATATTTTCGAAACTTTCAATTTCATTATAGAGGTGAAAAATAGACTTTTATACCATGATAAGGGTTTTGACACCGAAAATACATCTTTTAATGAAATTTTGAGGCGCACCCTATCGTGATTGTTTAAGGTTGACACCATACATAAACCTCACCCATGTTTTTACATCTGTTCCATAAAGAAATAAAATGCGATATTTTTTAAGATCATTTGAAACCTTCGGAGTCTTTAATGAATTTCAAAAAAATCCAAGATGTTACTAAAAAATCATCTTTTATTAGAGACTTGTTCCCGCCCTAAACCAATAGTGGGAGGCGAAAAGGTAATTTACTTTACGATCAAACCAACAAAAAGCTATACATACGAATTAAATGAACAACAGTGAGTTTTATAAAATTATATCACATATCGTTAATGGTACACCACCATTGTTTTATTTAAATATATCTTATAATTTACAGAAGAAGTTCATACAAAGGAGGGTGAATCTTCCCTTCTAAACCTGGAAAACTGTATTTCTGGAGGCCTCCTTGGGGTAAGGTAAAACCGGTTTGTTTAGCAGGTATTACCTTTCTTCCAGCTTCATCTGTAGATGTTAAAAGCCCACACCGACTGCATAACGACTCCAATTCCCATTCCTGCATGGGAGTTATGTCAAATCTCAAGTGAAAATCAAGAGAGAGAGAGATTTAGAAAATGAGTACAACAAAAAGATCGAGGATGGATCATTTCGTTTCATAACGGTAATGGCCATTATAAAGCAAAAGATGGTGATTAAGCAAAAACACAGGAAACTCGAATAAATTAGGGAAAATAATGAAAAAATGGATATATATATATAATTTCTATAAGATTGCAACCTTAAACAATCCCATTAAGGCACACCTCCAAAGTTTATCATAAATTGTAATGTTGGTGTAAAAAAATATTAGGATTATCTTAAAATCTATTTTTATATCTAATTATAAAATTTTAAACTAAATAAATAATTAAAATCAAGTAGATTTATAAATATATGAAAACCTTGAAAATGTACTGTCTAAATAATGTGTTGCAAGATGATCAATTAGAGGGTTTTTTAACACTAATTCGCTGGATTTTTTAACACTAATTCGCTGGATTTTTTAGGCGGATATATAATTCTACATTTTAAGGTTGTTTTGAAGCGGATATATAATTCTACATTTTAAGGTTGCAACCTTATACAAACTTTTTCCTATATATATATATATATAACAATGCATATTTAAAAAATAGATTCTGCTTTTAAATAGGGGAGGCATTTTTACAAGATAACAGCTTCTATTTCAGTTATTCTAAAATAACAATTTCTATTTCTATTATATTTTATTTTTTGAGGATTAATTAATGTTCACTATCACAGCTGTGAAGCCGGTCCATAAACGGCCATTTTTACCCATATGTACCTATTTTTTCCGCTCCCATGTTACCTTTATACATAATAACAGGTTGCGCCAGTTAGCTCTATAATGGCAGCTATTTTCTCATTGCAGCCATACCTTCTGAACTTAGAGAGAGAGAGGGACATTCTCTAAAATAGCTGTAATTTCCAAATGACAGCCGTTTTCTTGGACCCAGTCTTTAAAAAAACAAGTCCGACTTGGACTCACCCGTCCCGACTTGGATGATACGAGTCATGACCAGATCTTGACCAAGTGTTACCAAGTCTGGAGGGCGTCATCAAGTCCTTGACCAAGTCTGTCCGAGTCATTTGAAAAATAGAAACTAGTGAATCTGTTTCAGGTCACTACAAGTTTGACTCACAACTCATGAGCTGATTGGACCAGCCCCTTTACACGGTTCTGGGTTCTTAACCACTGCTTGAGCCTGGAGCCACACACACACATACAGTATTGTGAACACAATCCATCAATCTTTTCAGCTTTTCAGCAAAATACATACCTTCAGCATCAAGAGTTTCGAAAGGTGGGAGATGGGGTAGGGGTAAAGCTTGTAACCCCCATGGTTGATGCAGGCGAGAGACCATGTCCGTACCTTTTGATCATTGAAAGCATATTTAGTACCAATTGTCATCTAATGTGATTTTTCTTGTTCCCTCTATTTGGTTGATTTAAAGATGGAAAATGTTCTTCTACAACTGTTGTTGCAGTCTCGGCCACTACAACCACACTGAAAAATGCATTTTTTGAGGAATTGAGGATCCAAAATTCTACAAACACGTTATCTTGACCCCCAAGATCAAGATCTCAAGGGTAAAAAAAAACAAATCTGGAGGCAAAAACATTTCTCCATCATGATTGCTCTCTCAACATCTAGCCTGGACCGTCCACATCAATGGAGGCGAGATATATCAGAACTGCACCAATTAAGGAGGCCCAAATTTATTTTCTCGTGTGCAAATGGATTTGCATGTGTTTAGGAGTGTTCTTGGGTCCTCAATACATCAAAAAGGTGGACTTTCAAGGTGTGACTGTAGTAAAATCAAAAATCAAGAAACTAAACAGAATCAAGAAGAGAATATTAAAGATAAGATGAACAAGGACAGCCTGTGAAAGACCAACCTCATTGAAGAAGGATTCCATAAGGCAGAGCTGTAAATAAGAGGCCTCTGTTGCAGCCAAGGAGAAGAAACGTTTGTAATTGGCTATTCTGAAATGCCTGTAATATTTCCAACACATTGAAGAAAGAAATTTAAGCATTTTCGGACTCTGTTTCTTCAATATCCTTTACTACTGAAGAACCTGAATTTCATTAAAACCCAAAGTGACAAACAAATCAAGAAAACAGAGCAAAACATGGAACTTAATAATATGTGCTAATTGAATTCTAGGATTTTCGTCATCGTTACCTCAACACATTCCTGGCAAACTGCATCTCCCTTGACTTCAGTAGAGGTGCATCCAGTCTTCGGAACCACACAGAAAGAGACTCACCCTGTAAAACTTAAGTCCTTCAGAGAGAGAGAGAGAGAGAGAGAGAGAGAGAGAGAGAGAGAGAGAGAGAGAGAGAGGAGGAGGGAGGGAGGGAGGGAGGAGGAGAGTAGATAATAGTATATTATTATAGTAGTTAGTAGAGAAGAAAGAAAGAAAGAAAGAAGAAAGAAAGAAGTAAGTAAGTAAGTAAGTAACGTACGACGTACTACGTAGTGTA